CCCGAGAGGGTCCTGCCTGCTGCGAATGATCGACCGAAGTACCTATTTCGATATACGAACTCTTGATTAATATAACGCACTTCAAAAATAGAAATTCACAAAAGGAATTACTTAAATCCCCAAGTTCCCGGTGTGTGTACGTCCAATGGAATATCCTAAGGTTCGGTTACAGGTTTGGGAATCGCTTCCAATAGTACGGTTATCACGAATTCCCAAACTTCAAATTATTGAATCGAAACATCCGGGCCTCCGATTCACGATCCGCGAATTCCTATAAGTTTCTAAGAGCACCTAGATCTACATACTTTAGTTTGGAAACGATCCGACGGTTAGAACTTATCGAACCCGGATAACGCACAATATGCGAAATCCGTTCAATAGTCAAACGACATCCAAATTGAGATCCGCAAAATCCTACGCACTCGTGGCAACCTAAGGATCTCATCAAGATAAAAAAGCAACTTCACCAGCCTTGCCCACGCGCCGCCACACGCGCTGGCAGCGCGTGGATGTGTAGAGAAATGTCCGGCGACGGAAAATCTCCAAATCCCAAGCCACCCTTCCAATCCTAGATACTACTCGACGAATGGAGCATCTTTTTCAACTACGGCAACGTCCAATTCGGATGGCAAGTGGCCGGAATTTCACATTGAAAACAGGCCAAACCTAACTTCCAAAATCGAGATTCTAAACCGCAAATCGATCAATTCCTATGCAATAGCCAGCTAGAACTCAGAAAATGGATGAGAAACCTCACCTTACCCATCGGAAATGGTGGCTGGAGGAGAGAGATCGAGCGGTGTGAAGTTCCTGTCAATTCCGGCAACTTTTCTACATTTTCCAGCGAGAGATTGGTTCGGACCTTGTTGTTGGTCCTGAAACATGGTTGAATTAAGATTGGTCCTGGAGACTGAGTGAGTGAAGGTGGGCATAAATAGATTTTGAATTTATTATATGCATGTTTGATGCATTAAGTTATTTTAAAAACATTGTGGGCAGTTCTGCTAGAATTATTTGAAGGTCGGAGGCCCTTTAAGTGAGGGGTAAAAACTGAAATATGATTTTTACTCCAAACTTTTCGAAATAATTACGGTTCCACCATCGAGCTTATTTTGATCGCCAAAACTTTATTAAATCTCCGATTCAAGCCTACCGCCTGTCTACAGTTTCGTCTCAGTACCAATTAAACGAGGACGTAGATTTAAGGAGTAAACCCGGTGTGGGTGTGATGCCGGGGTCTCCGCAGGGTTCGTCTCGGGTTCCGGGAAATTCGGGACGGGTCCTGTCATGGAAGAAACATAAGCAACATCTTTTAAAACTAAAGAAAATCCTAAAACTAGTTGAAGCTGGACTGATCCTACAGCAAGAACTGCCACCTTCTTCCCTTTTCCTACGAAGAGTTAGCCTTAGTGTTGTCCTTATTGACAACGGCAAATGAGTTTGGCTTAGGATGGTGTCTTTTTGGAGTATTGGTTGTAAGATGGACTGTGTTCACTTCTTTCTCCTTCTTCATTCTTGCCTCTTCTTGAACACAAATTGAAATCAGTTCATTGAGGCTCCATTTGTCCTTTTGAGCATTATAGATCACTTTTAGTTGAGCAAATTGAGAAGGAAGAGAATTTAATGCAAGGTGAACTAGAAAAGGGTCAGCTATAGGGATCTTCAGAGCTTTCAGCTTGCTTGCAACTTCTATCATGCTTAAAAGATAAACCCTCATGTCCTCAACACCATCATACTTCATGGTTGCAAGTTTGGTCATCAAGGTTCTAGTTTCTGCCTTCTCAATGTCTTTAAACTTCAGTCCTATGGCCTCCAAAAAATCCTTAGCATTCTCAGATTCAGTGATGCCACCACAAATAGTTTCTGTTATGGATTTCCTCATGACAAGTAGGCATATCCTATTTGATTTCTCCCACCTCTCGAGTTTCTGCTTCTGTGCAGCATTGCTATTGGCAGTGACCTCAGGTTTCTCTTCTCTCAGCGCTAAGTCGTGATCTAGAAGACCTAGAACTATCTCTAAGTCTCTCTTCCACTTCTTAAAATTGCTACCAGTTAGTAGTTCAATTGAATTGATAGCAGAGGGATTCACAACTGAAAACATAGAATTTTGCAATACAATTAATCTTTACCCCAAAACCTTTATGCACATATGACACACATCTGTGGATAGTATATCAAAATGCCTTTAATTTCCTTCACAAGTCCAGCAACATGAACTATTGTGATTTTCCTTTATCAAAACAATTTACTCTCTGTGAACAGTAATGCTTGATCACTCACAACAGCTAATGAACTCTCTTTTTCTATCATGAAGCACAAACAATTGGAGTTCACACTTGTAAGCAGAGAAAACCAACTATTGTACCCTATGACACAATTTTTCCATTGATACTTTGAGATGATATGAAACAATCAATTAATACTCATCTGTGGACTGAGTAATAACAAAATATTCTCTATCAAAACATGGCAATACTTTATGGGATGTTATTCTTTATGCAGAATCATAACATATTTTATTAAGGAAAACCATATTTGATCTCTTTTATCCTAAGCATACTTCTATCAAATTTTGAAACAACAAACAGCACAACATAGTCCAGGATCTTGAGATAAAATGTAAGATTGATTTATTAATATGGCATGCCTGAAACAATTTTAAATCAACACAGAACAAATATGCATGCTTCTCAATTTTATCTTGTTTAGACCTATAGATGCATATGACTGCTCTGATACCACATGTAAGTTCTATTTCACATGTAATCTATAAGTACTAACCTTGAGAAGCCATTAGAGCAAGCACAGCAACAGCAGCAAAACACACGGACTAGCCTTGGTCTTCCTCTCTCTATGCACTCTAAATCTCTCCTGTATGGGTAGGAATATGAGTCTGTTTTTGTGCATGAGAGTGGGGACCGAAGCCTTAGTTTTATAGGTGAGAGCCTTGAGGTTCCTAGCCCATAAAGGAATCCTTAAAGCTTATCCTTATCACCACATGAATCCATAGCCTAATATAATAGATATTCCACAAGTGAGATAGAGCTTCAACTCTATCAAACTTATCCGTGTATATCCAGCTTATCTCTCTTTTGTATCCCTGATCAGATTGGACTCCTAAATAGATGTGAACTCAAATAGAGTTCTTATAGATGCTTCCCAAACATGTGGCGTTCAAGGGCCATAATGGTAACTTGCTCGGCACCCGCTTGAGCGAGGTCTTCGCCAGCGCCGATGGAGGCCTCTCCTATTCCTCGGGCAAATTGTGGAGGCTGACCAAGAGCGATTGGATCTGCCTTGACGCAGATAAGTCAACCAGCATCAAGAGATCTGCCGTCCTTGAAAAAATTACAAGCAACGACTCAGAAGCATACGTGGAGGTGAAAGAGCTTGGGGTTTCAAAGGAGATCTATAACGTCACTTTCCGCCTCGGGGACGCCATGATCTACGACAAGAAGGTTGTCGAAATTGTCATGGGAGAGGCAGTTAACCATACCAAAGAAACTCAAACTGTAGAGCTGAAGCTCTCGTATAAAAAACCTAGGAGCAGAAGCTTGAAGTCCAACGTGTTCGAGTTGGGCGTCCAGAGCAACATCGACGGAGAGGTTCCAGTCATCGCAGACAATGGAAAGATCGAGGTTGATGAGTTTGCAGAATCAGTAGAGAGGAGAAAAACCGGGACAGCCACAATATTCACATGTAGTGTAAACGAGGTTGCTGTTTATAAGGTTGTGCTGACGGCAATGGCTATGGTGAAGGTGAAGCTTCTAGCGACCAAGGCTTCATACGATGTTTCCTTCTCCTATATGCAGCGCGAAACTCTTGCTGACAGGAAAATAATTACCAACGACATGGATGATGGGGTTTACTGTGGCACCAATACCTTCAACTTCAAGTTCGAGACCACAGTAGAAAAGCTTTAACATTTCACCAGTCAGCTAATACACTGTAATTCCCAAAGACTACCCTTACATATAGAATATGGATTGTCGAATGTCTTCAAAAACCTGTTGTGAGCTTAATAAAACTTTCTTCTTCTTCTTCTTCCTCCTTAGAATTTGACTGTTCCCGAATTAAATTAACAAGAAAAAAAAATCATAAATTAAAAGAAGTTTTCAATGGGATTACTTGTACATTGCTTGAATTTATTTCCAGCTAAATAAATCAAAAGGCAACTGGTCAAAAAATGTTTTATATTCAGACTGTCTTAATTAAAGGCAACAATCATTTTTCTTTTAGATTAGGTGCAGACGACACCATTCCAGGCTCAGGCCCAACACCTTTGGACTCCACCAAGGACAAATAAGGAAAGACTTGCCTATTGTCAAAAAGAGTCACGTGTGTGTAACGTGACCACATTTTGTTGCAGCTTTACCACCTAGAGAATTGCTATCTACAATCCCTCAAAAGCGACTGTAAGGATGTCGCTTGTATACACCAGTTAGAATGCTACACGTGTATCTCACTTTTCAAAGAAATAAATGAGTTTCTATTAGAGAATTTATCAAAAATATCCAAAACTTAACCTCTAATTTCAAAAATGTCCGTTTGAATCTTCTCTACCATCTGATGGACGCCATGAATGTGGAAATCTATGGACAAGCATAGTCAATGATTTAGGCAGCCTCATAAAATCGAATGTCGACTGTATCTCCAAAAAATTCTGATTCCCTAATTAATTAATTATCTTATGAAACGGTTTATATGGTTGTTATCAATACTTGTGTTTTCTTTTTGCATATATTAAAAGCTCAAAGTTTGAATTTTTAATACAAAACAACATTGGTAATGTTGAAAACTAGGTGGTAATTGGCCTGGTTTTGGTTTCTCGGTGCATATTAAAAGCTTTCTAATTTGTTTATAAGATATTTATAATATAAATGTTTTTGTATTTGGCTTTACAGAAAGAGGAAAACTATTATTTTTCATAACAATCTAAAGCCTTTGTAAGTTATAGTTGTTTTCTTCCCGTATTGCTAGCTTTAATATCTTTTAAGTCTTTGACTGAAGCTTTTGCATTTGTATTGGATTTTCAAAATGAAAATTACGATTTATTTTGGGTACATGCAGTTTGAAGCTTTCATGTTGTCTGTACAATTTCAACTGCTTTAAATATTGTTGGTACATTTACGATTTATTTTGGGTACATGCAGTTTGAAGCTTTCATGTTGTCTATACAATTTCAACTACTTTAAATATTGTTGGTACATTTATATTTTATAATTTATTGGCGACTTTCCATCAGCCAACAATCATTTTTCTTTTAGATTAGGTGCAGACGACACCATTCCATGCTCAGACCCAACACCTTTGGACAAGGACAAATAAGGAAAGACCTGCCTATTGTCTAAAAGAGTCAGGTGTGTGTAATGTGACCACATTTTGTTGCAGTTTTACCACCTAGAGAATTGCTATCCATAATCGCTCAAAAGCGACTGTCAGGATGTCGCCTGTATACACCAGTTAGAATGCTACAAATTTCCTGTGTTGTGACATGTCAAACTTTAGAATCAATCCAATTTTGGAAGTAACCCAAAATTTCAATGGTGATATCTAAGTTCTACAAGACAAAAAGACCGCCAGCAAGATCTAGTGGTTCATTTGAGAATCCATTCGAGAATCCACACTCCTTTTGCATCATTTCAAGTATCTGATTTTTCATTTTTGTTTTCATAAGAAAAATCACCGTGGGATTTTCAAAGCGAATAAGCTCTTTTAGATATAGAACTGTCAAGGGGTTCACCAACCCTTGACAACTCTAGGAGAGGTGTATCATAATGAGCGTGTGGCTGATTCTTGCCAACCACCACAACCATTCTCCATTCTCAATAGTCGATCTTCCCCCAACCTTGAATCTGTTTTCCAAAACTTCCAACTCCTTTGATGGACTAATATCCACCTTACATAGGGATTCCTCATTTAAAACTCCACTATCCTTCCTTTGATTTCCTCTTCATCTGCCACATGAATTTCCTCCTCTTTGTCGCCCCTTCCTGCCACGACCACCTCTGTTCAGCAACTGAAAAGGGTTTCCACGACCTGGGCTTAGGGTGATTTTTGCACATTTGGTACCTCTAACTGAAATGGTGGAAACCTTCTCTTGATGGATTATATCTTTCCCACGTTTTACAGATGAGAATTGGGTCTGATTGGTATCAATCACAAGTTGAGTATAATCCCAAGGGCCAACGCTAGCCAATGGTCCAAAGTCATCGATTTCTTCAATTCTGGGCTTTGACTCAATGGCTTCCAATAGGTCCTTTGTATGCGAGAAAGCCCATGGGGGTACACAATCTGGGTCACACAATTTGAGGGTCCTATCTCCTCCTATAAGCTGCCAGGGTAGGCCTGCAGGTTGAGGTTGCAGTGCTGCTAGTCCTAGGAAATAGATCAGCAGACTGATGTAGAGACAAACCTTGTTGTCGCTATAGGATGGC